TGAGTAAATGAAAAGCAGCTCTTCTGCTTCTCTATCAGCTCTCTTCAGGACACCGAGGACGAGGCTCCATGAAAACGATTTCCCAAGGGACAGACGCCATTTTTTTCCCAGTTTTATTACAACTCTTGTTTTATCCCCCCCCCCCCCCCCCCCCACCCCCACCCCCCAACAGTTTTCCTCAATCAGCTGAACGAACCGGTCTGCTGCTCTGAGACCGTTTGATCTGGCTCGTTTACAGAAACGCACAAGCTGCCGGATGGGTAATTTCGGATCAGATTAGAGGAGGACTCCTGTTTGTGATTTAATCTATGAACAAACAGGGGGGGCCTCAATTCTCAAGACTAAAACACTTTTGATGTCGGCATAAAACCCAAAGAGCTGATGAACATATGGGGAACTTAATGGTTTTAGGCTTGTAATTCACTCATTTACAGAACAGTTATGGTTTCTTCTCATTTTGATGACGTTTGTGCTAAATGTTGGGAAATGGACGATGTTTAACTTCCATTATCGGAAAGTGGATTCATAATATCCAGCTGAAAAAAGCAGCCATCTTCTTTTTGTGCATTTGTCTGTCACATGGTCCTTGACCTACACACAATTAAGGTGCAATTGCATTGAATCTGAATCAACATGACTCAAAAATACATAAAATAATGTTTCTTTGAATGAAAGGTTTCCCGATTTATTTATTAGGAAGTGGGGGAATTGTATACTAGAACCAGCCACTAGGGGGCAGTTTGTTTTCAGCTCTACTCACATCTCGTCTAGTTCTAGGTTGATGGTTCACCTTTATCCACGTAAACATTAAGGAATTGTCCTAGTGGGCTCAGAAAAGGACAAGCTGACGTTTTTAGCATCTTCTTTCTTTAAAGCATTGCTTCTCGTTTGAGGAAGCAGGAAAAAAGCAGATCTGGACAGAACAGCCGAACCCCAGCTTTCCACTGGACGCATACAGGTGCTGGCCAGTAAATTAGAATATCATCAAAAGGTTGAAAATATTTCAGTAATTCCATTCAAAACGTGAAACTTGTACATTATATTCATGCAATGCACACAGACCAATGTATTTCCAATGTTTATTACGTTTAATTTTGATATTTATAGGTGACAACCAATGAAAACATCAAATCTGGTATCTCAGAAAATTAGAATATTCTAAAGGCCAATGAAAAAATGTTTGTTTCTCTAATGTTGGCCAACTGAAAAGAATGAACATGAAAAGAATGTGCATGTATAGCACTCAATACTTAGTCGGGGCTCCTTTTGCCTCAATAACTGCAGTAATGCGGCGTGGCATGGACTCGATCAGTCTGTGGCACTGCTCAGGTGTTATGAGAGCCCAGGCTGCTCTGATAGTCGTCTTCAGCTCCTCTGCATTGTTGGGTCTAGCGTATTGCATCCTCCGCTTCACAATACCCCATAGATTTTCTATGGGGTTAAGGTCAGGCGAGTTTGCGGGCCAATCAAGGACAGGGATACCATGGTCCTTGAACCAGGTGCTGTTGGTTTTGGCACTGTGTGCAGGTGCCAAGTCCTGTTGAAAGGTGAAGTCTGCATCCCCATAAAGTTGGTCAGCAGCAGGAAGCATGAAGTGCTCTAAAACTTCCTGGTAGACGGCTGCATTGACCCTGGACCTCAGGAAACAGAGTGGGCCAACACCGGCAGATGACATGGCACCCCACACCATCACTGACGGTGGAAACTTTACACTGGACCTCATGCAACGTGGATTCTGTGCTTCTCCGCTCTTCCTCCAGACTCTGGGTCCTTGATTTCCAAAGGAAATGCAGAACTTGCTTTCATCAGAAAACATAACTTTGGACCACTCAGCATCAGTCCAGTCCTTTTTGTCCTTGGCCCAGGCGAGACGCTTCTTGCGCTGTTTCTTGTTCAAGAGTGGCTTGACACACGGAATGCGACACCTGAATCCCATGTCTTTCATGAGTCTCCTCGTGGTGGTTCTTGAAGCGCTGACTCCAGCTGCAGTCCACTCTTTGTGGATCTCCCCCACATTTTTGAATGGGTTTGTCGTCACAATTCTCTGCAGGGTGCGGTTATCCCTAGAGCTTGTACACTTTTTTCTACCACATTTTTTCCGTCCCTTCGCCTGTCTGTTAATGTGCTTGGACACAGAGCTCTGCGAACAGCCAGCTTCTTTAGCAATCACCTTTTGTGTCTTGCCCTCCTTGTGCAAGGTGTCAATGATTGTCTTTTGGACAGCTGTTAAGTCAGAAGTCTTCCCCATGATTGTGGTGCCTTCAAAACAAGACTGAGGGACCTTTTAAAGGCCTTTGCAGGTGTTTTGAGTAAATCAGCTGATTAGAGTGGCAGCAGGTGTCTTCTATATTCAGCCTTTTCAGAATATTCTAATTTTTTGAGATACCAAATTTGGAGTTTTCATTAGTTGTCACTTATGAATATCAAATTTAAATGTAATGAACATTGGAAATACATTGGTCTGTGTGCATTGCATGAATATAATGTACAAGTTTCACGTTTTGAATGGAATTACTGAAATATCTTCAACCTTTTGATGATATTCTAATTTACTGGCCAGCACCTGTAAGCAGCGCATAACGTAATAGTTGCGTTTTATCCGAGAACTCTCTGCCCACCAAGAGCGTTTCAGACTTTAAGTGGAAGGGTTTCACGCAGCTGGACCACAGACAGGCAGAAGAAAGTTTCACAGGAAAGAACGTACTTTTATAATAAAGCTACATTAGCAAGTTTGGAAAAATAATTAGGTTCAAACGTTTGTTTTCATGCCTCTTAATAATATTCTAACTTAGTAGAACTATAAATATGATAAATGATGATGAATGACCCACACTTGTATAACGCCTCTCAGAGTAAGGACTCCAAAACGCTTTACACTACAGTGTATCATTCATCCATTCACACACTGATGGTGATGAGCTACAATGTAGCTACAGCTGCCCTGGGGCACACTGACAGAGGCGAGGCTGCCGAGCACAGGTGCCACCAGTCCCTCCTACCACCACCAGCAGGCAAGGTGGGTTAGGTGTCTTGCCCAAGGACACAGCAGCAGAATTCTCTGTCCGTAGCCGGGATCAAACCTGCAACCTTCCGATTACTGGACAACCCGCTCAACCTGTTGAGCTACTGCTGCCCCCCATATATTGTGGAGACTTAAAATAAAACAACTATTGAACCATACCATTGTCGGTCTCGCTTGACTGTCCTATTTTTGCACTTCCCTGGATCCTCCACTCATTAAACACTCACGCATTTAGCAACACCACTGGAATGAGATGTTCTCTAATAACACAAGAGAAGGAGAAACGGCCGGCTGCTACCACTTCAACTTTAGGACAAACTACCAGAGTCCCAAAAAGAAAATCACCATTTGAAGTCACGGACAATAAAAGATGTTTGGATATAGAAAATGACTATAGGTGTTCAGCACCATCTTGTGTCCTCTGACAACGCAGGTTTCCAGTTCCGAAAGAGAAGATACCCGAGGGGAGGGGTGAGTGTTCTGTGACTGCGTTTGCGTCCCAAAGCTAGCTTGTTCTGTAGCTTCGCTCAAGCATCTTTAAGCAACTGGAAATCTGCACATTTATTTTGAAAGTTTCCAGATGTTATACACTGCTTTCGTTTACGACTTCCTGTCTGGCCCGATCTGAACTGCTAAGGTCGACCCATTCTGGAGGTGTGATGCAAAAAAAATACACTCGAAGCATAAGTGACACATCCCTGCTGTTTTAGGATGAATCCAGTTCACATCGGTGGAAATGCACCCATCCATTACAACGGCGGGTAAAAGCTGCACACTACATTTCATGAAAGTTAAACAACACTTGATTTATGCTCTCCGTCAGCTCCATGAGCACGAGACACTAAGGCTGCAACAACGAATCGATAAAATCGCTGAAAATCGATTACTAAAAGCGTTGGCAATGAATTGAGTCATCGATTCGTTGTGTTGCACAACTCTTCCAAAGCCCCCCTCCCTTGCTCATCCCCTTCCAAAGTATTCTGAAGGCTTCATTTCTGGTTTTTTCATTTTTTGAAAAATTAGGCAGAAAGAGGTGTTGTCTGGCGAACCGCATGGTACACATGGAAGGGGCTGGGTGGAGTCAACACTTTCTTACTTGCTATGCTAAAAGTTCATGTTGTGTCATAATAGGCTGACTTTATTCTTTCTGATCTCCAGGGCAAAACAACAAACACTGAGCAGCTTATTATTGTCAAGCAAATCATGCACACCTCAACAAGCAGCAGTCGTCACAAATAGCAGCTGTAAGACATTTTAGGTGATGGCATGTTGTTCTTCTGCTATTTAAGTATTTTCTAATGATGTTGTGTTTAATAAAGTGAAGGAAGGAGAAAAAACGTTTCCCTAGCAGTTTTTAAAAATTTCCCCATGTAATCCGATTAATCGATTAATCGTGTCGAGACCCCATCCGATTCGATTATCCAAATAATCGTTTGTTGCAGCCCTACGAGACACACACACACGCATCGACGTAGACATTTTGCCTTTGGACTTCTTCGTCAGCTGGGGAGCGTTGCAAAGCAATTCTTCGCCAGGACAACAGAGGGCGAAGTGCTTTTCTGAGGTATCCTGTCATGTCTCTGGTCCAAGATAGTCATTTACTATTGTGTTTACCAATCTAGACTCGTTATGTAGAGCCAATCTAGCACTACAGTAGCCTAGAAGGGACAGTTCAAACACCGACTATCATTTTATCCATCCTTTCTGCTCGGTGGAACTTTAACAGTCTTCACCTCCTCTCTGCCCACCTGTGTAGTTTCCAGGTCACCAGTCTGGAGTCACTAAACCCCTGAGAGTATATTTAAAGGAGGAATTTTTACTGCTGAGTTAATGTTTGATCGTTACAGCCGAGTGGACTTCAAATCCAACAAACTGTAGAAGTCAAAACCTTCTCAGAAATACCAGAGGTTGTAAAATCTCTGAAAAGTCGCAATAAATTGTTCCTTTTGTTTGTTTTTATTGACCATGTTACACCCACCTGCCCACAGACAGGACCGTGACCTCTCCCAGGTGACTGCGGCGCTGCTCGGGTTTGCGGGCTGACGGTTTCCTCATCAGCGGCCATTTTTTCTGGCTGCAACGGGTGCAGATGTTCTTGTGTCCCGACAGGCCGCCGATGGTGTGCAAGTGGCTGCAGGTGTGTTTGGGAGCTCCAGCGGGTGCTCCAGGTGACACGGGGGTCATGGGAGGGGTGGACGGTCCTACGGAGGTGGGAGTGACCGGAGCCCTTGAGACAAAAACAAAACCATTATCCCTGTTATCAGATAGGAAACGTTTAGGAAAAGCAAAGTTTGTAAACAAATAACTTCAGTTTGATTTACTTGAATGAGAAAATCTCTCGACTTAGTTCTGCTGCTCATCTTTTACTACAGGCCATCATCGCAGAGCGACATGGTAATAATTCATACTTACTGACAAGATGCCAGAGGACCAAAGAAAATGACTATGTCTGTTTGAAGTTAAAAGAAAAAACGATTGCAAATATCAAAACATCATTTCTCTCCTCTGGGAGACAAGATTTTTCTCTAAAGAGCGTCAAAAGGAACTAATTAGAGCCAACTTGCTAGAGACCGTGTCAGTTTGTCTTCTCCAGCCCTGGAGAGCAGCTCCTTGTTTACACACAAAGGTAGAGTAAACCGCATTACCACACGCTGATGTAAACATGCACAGCTGAATTTAAACGTGTGTGCATGTGCCGGGGAAACGGCAGAATTATTCGGAGTTGACTCGTCTTCAGCAGGCATCACAGAAACATGAATACATGCAAAGAGACAGAAGGGGACGGTGCAACTAAACACGGTCAGAAACACATCTGGGTCAAAAATATTCTACAAAATGAAAACAAGTCGTTTTTTATGTCATGGAAGAAACGGTCACTCCTAGTTTCTCCATTAGGGTTAGATTTAGATCTATGCATACTTTTCTGGATGATTAAAGGTGCTCAAATACATTTCATGTGGAAAATAAAGCCTTTCTGAGCTCAAAATCAGGTAAAGTAGAACCTGGTTTACCCCCCGCTGAAAACTTTTTGTGATTATGAGATTTAAAATGTGAGTTCTGTTCATGAGAGGGTATAAAAATTAAGACGTAGCAAAGATAAACGCCTCCTGTAGAGAATCAGAGCGATGGTGGAGGACAAAAGCCTAGCCACAGCTACAGTTGTTTTCCTGGTTGTGGCGTTCCTCCTCCTCCAAGCCCGTCTGTCACCCTACCCCAATGGATCCCATAAATCACGCCGACCGATGCTCCTCTTCTCCCCTATCCACCATCTCTAAGTGATCAGCTGGCAGGCTGCCCAAGCTGGCTGAGAGAAACAGAAAGATGTGGACTGTTACAGCTGGAGAAAACGGAGCGCCGTAGAGTGGTTTGAGCTGAGGGGGTGAAAAAACGGTGGAGGAAGACATCTGGAGAAACACAAACACATGAATGTAGCGGTGATTGTGTCGATATGTTTCTACTAGGGCTTCATCCTGTGCACAGGTATGGCTCCCACAGCTCACTCGTGGTAATCCAATAAATCAGAGCAGCCCGTCTCTTTAACTGGTTTCCTTCCACAACAATCTGTAGAGAGGAAATGAAGATACCAGCGGGGGAAAGATGGAGGGAGCTCACTTCGCTAACTCGATTTACTAGGACTCCTCTGTCACTCGCGTCTCCTCCTCCAAAGAGCCCGTTTGCTGAGCTCCCCCTCCCGTGTGCTTCTTGTTTTCTTAGCTTGTTAAGATGTTCAGACAAAACAGCAGCATGAAGACGAAAAGTCTGAGTCAGCTCGCACCATCAGTTGGTAAGAGGAGCGGTCTTAATTCCAACAAGAGCTGTTTTTACAGGACCAGAGCGTTTGCAAACGGGATTTGCCGAGGCCCCCTGGGGAGGATAAAGGTCGTTTAGAAGATCAGACCGTGGCGGTAATGGGGCGCAATCGTGGCAATTTTATAAAAGATTAGGTGATGGCGGCGTAAAGGGGGTATGGGGGCGGTCTCTGCGCTGCCGCAGACTTCCGTTTATCTTGGACATAACTTGCTTTTTATTGCGATTGAAGCCGTGATCGTTACGTTTTTTTTAACAAGCAGCTCCTGAAGGTGTCTGTCCCCATCAGTCCCTGTGCAGTCTCTGGTGGTCTGAGCTTCAGCTCTAACAGAGAGGCTCATGGAGCACTGCGGCGCTCCAGTTTGCCATCTCAGCTGATTTTGTTCAAAAACCAAACCTTATTGCCCGTGTTTACTTTCATTTTCAGTAAATTTACCATCCAGAGCTCAGCAATAACTCCCCACGTCATCATGACATCTGCCTCTGTTGCGCCAGGGTGCATACGACGACCATTACCGCAATATTACTACCAAGCGAGGCGGAACGAATGCCGCAAAATTCACACTACGCCATGGCGCGTTTATAGACATACCATTGCGGTAATATTACAACGATTTTCCGGCATGGCCTGTCTTATCAAAGAGGAGAGATGGCTTTCATTTAGCCATTATTTGCATCAAAATGGTCCAATCAGGTCTGAATCAAAGCTATTAAAGGATATGATGCAAATGAGCGGTCTTTGTTGCCTTGGTTACGCTTACTACGCCAATTAGTAGATTTACAATTAAAAATGTTGGTCATTTTCATAACAAGTCAGTGTTTTGTTCGGACTTCAAGTCAGTATGCTTTCTTAAGCCGTTTTTATAAAACACCGTTGAATTGCCGTAACGCTGAAGCAGCATCAGGGAGCCTCGGGTCGTTTATAAGTGGTCAGACAGACAATTGCCGCAAAATTACTACCAAGCAAAGTGGAACGAATGCCGCAAACGTTTGTGCATCGTCATGCTGGTATGGTGCGTTTATAAGACACACCATTATATATGCAGATTTTTCGGCACGGTGCGTTTGTAAAAAGGGCTTTAAAATATAACAAAATATAACACTAGTTAGCTTAACCATTCACTCGTCCAGTTATTTGTTACTTTACCCGACGCGGTTAGGTAGGAAGGGGAGAAAAAAACAACACCTGCTAACATTCAGATAGAAAAGTAACTAAGAACGTTGCTCATAGGATTACAGAACCGAAGTATTTAAAGTCCTCTACCTTCTTTACTTCTGCTCCTTGTTTGGATGCAAGAAAATATCAAAACAGTAGAATATTGTGACATTTCATGTTTCAATATGGAATTGATGTTTAAAAGCAGTGTATCGATTTTGTATTCAGAATTAACACAAACATTTACTGTATTTTTGTTTGGTGCAACTCAACCTCCGACAGCTAGGTGGCAGCGGTTCGTACCACCTTCCTTCTGAGGGACTGCGAGATCTCGGAAGCACCTGGCCTTACGATTTCCAATTAAATTCAGTCTTGAAAATTCCAAATATCAGTCTTTTAGTGTTGCAATATGTCGTATCGTCTCTACTGTATTGCGATATACATATATCGTATTGCCAGATTCTTGCTAATACCCCCCCAACTTCCTGTGACATCACTTGTGTCCTTCTTGTTTACACATTCCTCTCTTGCTGCGACTATTCTTCATTCCTCTCTTTTTCCAGGACACATCTCCACCTTTCTAGCTCTTCTTCTACCAGTGTCCTGCTCTCACTGCAAATGCCAATGTCATCTGCAAACATCATAATCCAAGGAGACTCCTGTCTAACATCATCTGTCAGCCTATCCATCACCAGAGCAAAAAAGATGGGCCTTAGCATAATTAACAAATATGAATGTTTGACTAATCTGAAAATTAATAAATAGCAATATTAACTGAGTTATAAGTTAACAAACAAAAACTAAAGACTGTTTCCTCTCGTTTAAGAGGCCACTGTGGATCTAATTTATAGTGAGGAACTTAAGTATTTGAACTTATGTTCTTTAGACATTATACGAATGTGTGCAGCAGTGCAATACTGTACAAATACATTCTTTACAAATCATACGTGAATTTTAGAGCCCTCCATGATTTCCAAAACTGGTAAAATCACAGGTGTTCAAATACTTTTGTTTTTCGTTGTAGGTTTGTGGGTTTTCCCTGGATTGGGTTGGGATGTGTCCCAAACATCCATAATGACAGTTCTTTTTATTAGTTTGACCTCAGTGAGGCGTTTGTTACCAGCTGTTTGTTTACTTTTAGGATTTCAGTTGAACCAGCTACCGATTTTCCAGGGGAAATAATATTAATGTAGCTCAGAAACACTAAAAATTTAGTGTAGAGCTTCAGGATTTTACTGAACTCAACAGAGGTAGTTGTTTTTTTGCTGTAAATCCTCCACAGTGGTAAGTGTTGACTGATTAGACATGGACTTATTTTAAAGACCCAAATTAATTAAAAACTTGGAAATGCCACAAAGCATTTAGATGGCCATCGTTTGCATCATGCCGAGTTAACGGTCTTCTGCAATTATTGATTATACAAAAGTCAAACTCAAACCAGCCCATAATTAAACATAACATTAAACTTCTAGAGTCTAATTAATTAATGATAATCACTAGGCACTATTTCAGGTACACGTCACCAAGTTTTAAGAAGAAAATCAAATGATAAATAATCTAGTTAAACTAAATATTTCAGATCTGATGGAAGCTGCAGAAGTTGGAAGAGACGTTTTACTTTTCCTCTAATTTATTTACACTCACAGTTCCAGTACACTATCTGGCTAAGAACCCACTAAGAAAATATGCCAGGGTGATTTAATAATCCCACAATGGACTGACGTGAGGCGCTGCGGCAGCGTTTGGGGAACGCTCTCCAGCTGCCTGCCCTCAATCAATCCCTGCCAATCTGGAAGTGAATCAGAGGAGAAATGTGGCCTCGTTGCTTTGAGCGTTCTGGTGCTGCTGGTTCTCAAAGACGCCTGTAGTGCCCTCTGGTGGAGGGAAGCAATTACAGCAGGTTAGCAGAGTAAAAGAAGAGGACGCTCACCCTTCTGAATCGATGCTGTTCTCATGAATCATGGCTTTAAGGGCATCGGAGTTTGCTGGGGGGAAAAAGAAAACAGTCAAGGGTGGGCTTTATGTTTCAGGTGAACCTTCTTCAGATCAATAGTCTCCAACACAAAGTGTTTCTGCCGATAGGAAAAGCAACATGACCACAGCACATTTACATCTTTTCCCCTCACGCCCAGCTGTGATGTGTTCACCGACTTCGCCATCAGTGCAGAGTCATTGTTAGGAGGGCCTGTGAGCAATTAGACCACTTATGTAAGAGTTGTGTGGTGCAATTCTTGACATCTGACCCAAAGCTCTGCCTTTGTCATCATCGGGAAATAGCTTCGAGTGAAAAAAATGATAATAAATAAATAAAAATCTGGAATGTTTGATAAGGTTTAGTCATTTTATTTGTCTCTGATTTCATGGTTATCTTCAGAACTTTAAAGGGACCTTTGGCCATACTTTTACAAGTGAAACAATTACTTTTGATTTGACAAATTTAGAAATGTTTAACATAACCAAGAAGGACCAAAAACAGTCAGACATTTGCTAAATTTATGACCACTGAAAGACAATAAAAATTTTGATTACTGTTATTTTTGGGGGGCTGCACAGTGGTGCAGTGGTTAGCGCTGTTGCCTTGCAGCAAGAAAGTGAGCTCAAATCCCAGCCTGGGGTCTTTTTGCATGTTCTCCCTATGCACGCATGTTTCCTCCAGGTACTCCAGATTCCTCCCTCAGTCCAAAAACATGACTGTCTGATAGATTGGTCTGTCTAAATTGTTCTTAGAGAGGTGTGTGTGTGTGTGTGTGTGTGTGTGTGTGTGTGTGTGTGTGTGTGTGTGTGTGTGTGTGTGTGTGTGTGTGTGTGTGTGTGTGGTGTGTGTGTGTGTGTGTGTGTGTGTGTGTGTGTGTGTGTGTGTGTGTGTGGTGTGTGTTGCCCTGTGATGGGCTGGCAATCTGTCCAGAGTGCATCATGCCTGTTAGCCAGGACACAGCTAGCAACAGGCACCAGCCCCCCGTATAGACAACAGATGGATGGATGTTATTTTCTGATTGAACATAAAGAATTGGTTAACACAATGCAGTGATACCACTGAACCGCCAGTAGAGGGCATAGCTTCCTCTTGTCTAGGAGGCAACAGAATGTTAGTTTTCCTTCTATTTTTACTTTTTGCTGCAATTAACATAATAACTAATAGCGAATATCAATTATGTCAATCTTCAAATGTACTTTTACTGTAATCTATTATTTACGGTGAATCTGTCTCACATCTACTCAGATTGGCATGGGCTGAATTAATAATTTCCTGCAAGCAGAAGTGAGACTGAATCTCAGTTCAAGTATGATGAACATAATGAGGAAGCTCATGGCAAACACCCTGACACACAAATAGAACTATATAAAACTTGGGACAATGACAGTGAGTCATAAGACGGTACTGCCTTCATGTGTGTCGTGCTGCGCGGTTGTCACCAGGAAGGTATCCCGTGCCAAGCTGCTCTCATGCGCAGAGATCAGTCGGAGCAGATTAGCCAACGGCAGGAACTACTGAAGCGCCTGGGTTTCAATGAAAATCTGAGCAGTGCTAGATGTCACTTCAGACTAAAGGAGATGCCGGTAATCATCAAAAACAAAGAGGAAGAATAACAATGTTCAACTATTTTATGATTATTTCTAACCAGAGTTTCTCAAAGGGTGAAACAACGGGTCGTTGGGGTAGGGGGTGGGGGTGTGCAGAAACCGTTTGTTCACGGAGGTTCAATCTTTTAGGTGTTGACAACCTTAAGTTAAATTTATAGATCTTTTATTGATTTGGTTTTAACGTTTAGTTGTATTGATTGGTACGACAACCTGCCTGTGAAAAATAAGGCCCGTCTGATAGGGACGGTTCTAACGGAACCCTACAGAAAATCTGGAAGAGACGGCTAGTTAGGAAAGTTAATTATATAGCAGTAGGAACTAACCTCTGCTAGAGGAGTTTGCCCCCATCCCCTCGGGGAAACTGTTAGGGTTGCCACCAATAAGACTACATTTGAGACAACAGCTTTAAATCGTCCGTGATCATCTAGGGGAGGGCCGGACCATCTTTTGTTTTCTGATGGAAGTTATGATTTAAAACTACGTCCTCATGTGATCACCGCTCCTGGTCCCATCATCTGTTGGGTCAACTATTTTACACATCCAGGTTTACTGAATCAATTCAAGTTTATTTATAAAGCGCCAAATCACAACAAGAGTCGTCTCAAGGCACCTCACATAGTAAACATTCCAATACAGGTCAGGTCATTAATGGGCCATTCCCATCTGTACCGGGTCGGCCCGGGCCGGGTAGCCCCAGTCGGCCCCAGCCTGGCCCGGTTGATTCCACACATCCTTGCCTTAAGCCCATGTGGGCCGATTCTACCCACCAATCAGAGGCTTGCTCTAATGGAAGGTGTGAATCTGATGTCAGCAGTGGGTGTGTTGGCCCTGGTCGGCCTGAAGCAGACCTCCTCGAGAAGAGGGCTGAGAATGAGCCTTGGTTGGCCCGGAAAAATACCAGGCCACCCAGATATGTAAACAACCTACGCTAGCCCGGCCCGGGCCGACCCGGTACAGATGGGAATGGCCCGTTAGTCAATCAGAAAAATGTTTCCAATATAAGGAACCCAGCAAATTTTATCAAGTCACTTTACAGCAATCCTCATACTAAGCAAGCATTTAGCGACAGTGGAGAGGAAAACTCCCTTTTAACAGGAAGAAACCTCCAGAGGATCCTGGCTCAGTATCAGCAGCCATCCTTCACAACTCACTGGGGATGGAGAAGACAGAGCAGGAACACACACACCAACACCAACTCCAGCTCACCCACCTACACACAGGTTGGTTCCACAGAAGAGGAGCCTGATAGCCAAAAGATCTGCCTCCCACCCTATTTTTTAGATATTCTGGGATTAGTTATCTTTACTATGAGGTGTAAGGATTGTGCATCTGAGAGACGCAACACAGCTAAGCGTGTGGGTACCGCCCTCCCAAAAAGAGTCAAACAGGTGTCACAGGTGACTAGAACCTGATTGGCTCCTCACTAACAGTTTTTGGGCTGCTGCCATCACCACTCCCTCTCTTACAATTAAAAGCTAAGGCTTTTCATTGCAATTGGATTGACGTCTTGGGGTGTGTTTGTGACGTGGTTCTGCTATCGAAAAAAATCATACGGTCTAGAATTCCACTATGATTAGTTTAAGTGAAGCTTGCTAGCAAGGTTTTAGATAATTCAAGTAAAAACTTTGACTAAACTTTCAGCCTCTTATACACCGTCAGAAACATTGCATGAATAGTTTTATAAACTCAACTCAGGCAAGCATTACTCCTCATGGTCTCCTTTGAAGTCATTCCTTATTTAGTCCCAGCCCTAGGAAATCATTCGTATCCATCAGGATACTCAGGAAACATCAATGAGATACAGGGTTATAGCAAAATGTGTTGTATAAAATGCTGTCAAAACCAATTCCATCCATAAATTCCACTACAATTGTCCTGAATGTGAACTTTCATCAACAACCCCTCCTGTTTTCCTGAGAGGGGTCACACTCACACAGAGCCGAAAGTCCAATGCTGGCTTCCTTCCTGACTGTTGTGTGAAAATGTACCCTCCCAAACAAAATGAAACAGGAAATCCAACAAGGGGTGGTGGAAAGGTGGCAATAATAATCAATCCCACCTTATCACATTAAACATTTTTAACAATCTGCACAAAGAAAGTTGCATCAAATGAGACAATGGAAGGACGAGCAGTTACCTTCATTCTTCATGATGCAGTGGACGATGTGTCCGACGGTGTCATTGTTCTCACTGAGTGTGTCATTCAGCTCTGGAAGAACATGAAACGTACCCAAAGTTGTGTTAGGATCATAATTTTAATTGCTGAATCACAATCGCTGACCTTAAACCAAGTGGGACCTGCAGTGCTTTGGATGATGTGGGTTCTTTGTCTTTGAATGTCTTCAGAAAGGGACAAAGTGTGCTTTTTGAGACCGTTAAGCCGACTTCGTGTTGTCAAGACAAGTTCTACTCAAATGATTAATTCTATTGGTCTGGTAGTGGCTCATGAAACTGACCACAGCTTCACAAATATTGTGGTTCATCACAATCATTTCATGATATAACCATGAAGAGGAGTGACTTTTTCCATAGAGGACCAAGTTGGTTTAGGTAGCCTTTTTCCTCTTACTCAACGAAACCATCATTTGAAAATTGGATTTTGTGTTTTGAGCTATTTGAAATTTTCTTCTCATCCTGAAACAGTTACGTGGGACAAAGAAGCAAAAATCAAGTACATGTATAGGGAGCCTACATTACACCCATCTACTTCTGGACATGGGGCCCCAGAAGAACACACGCAGTCAAACTAGCAGAGGAATATCCAGAAACCAGACAAGCATGATAGGCAAACTGAAAGCTAGTAAACACACAGAGGAGGGAGGAAATTAACCTCTCTCACACAAAACATTCAAGACATTAAATATCACAAAAGTACAGAGGAGAAACAGGATCAGAATTATTCCAGAAGTTCCTCTTACCAGAAGAGTCCTTTCTTTTACAGCCAAGGCTGAACAAAACAACACACAAGTGATCACCCACAGCCTCCTGCTCGGTTTTAAACAGGTTTTTGGACATTTTACATGACAGAGACTCAAAGGTTGCTACTGAAGGACTGGTATCAAATGAAACGGACATGCTTTCAGCAGACGGGGGAAGGCTAGAATGTTAATGTGATGCTAATGGAATAAGAAAAATGTCAGCAGAGTTCTCAGCTGCCATCATATAAAAGGTCAACAGCTGGTATGTTTCTCAGTCTAACTGCTGGGAAAAACAACCGTAGAGGAATTAAATTATGAATCACAACAGGCCGTTTGAAGTGTTTTTGTGCATAATCATCACATGTGGTGATTTTTCATATAAATACTGAGCACACAGGATGCAAAGCACGTCTACAGCTGTACTTAAAAGTCCTTCAGTAATCGAGTACTCTAGTAAATATTCCATCCATTAATTGAATTCTTTGCTAGTTTTTCAGATCTTCAGTCATTTTGCGCATGCACCAAGCGTAATTTAATGTCTTATCAATGGTGTTTGAAACTTTGAGTATAGGGTGTACAAATTCCTTCTTGGCCGGATTTCAAGGCCGATATGTCACGGCGTCAAGTTGGAAGACTCCTTCAAATGCGGCTCATGAATCTGGCTATTTTCCCCAAATCCCGTGTATCCTTCACAGCTCACCACAATCGAAGATGCACTGCGGGCTGAAAGAGTTTTTTTCTATTAACAACGTTGGACTGAACTTACAGAAATAATTCTAAGCATTAGCTTACAATTGTTGGATTTAGGTTTGTAGTCAGTCATGTAAAACGTTTTAAGGCATTTTAAACCATTTTTAATTTAAAAGTAATAACAGTGCTCTTGTTTTAGGTACAGCTACTATAACTACTTAAGGAAAAAAAAATTAATAATGAAAAAGCTCTGAAAATTTTCCAGCTCCTTTGCTTTTGCTCAGGGTTGTCGTGGTTTCTTAGTGACAGCACATTTGCCAAAGTAGGGGCAGGAGCATCGACACGAATTTTATAAATATATATACAAATATGGACAATTTGTCCACAGGAGAAGCTTTTTGTTGTTGTTAATTCTTAAATAGAAACAGAATGAGCATTAAAAGCTCTGTACCTCTGGTTTTCGTCTCAAATTGTTCCTTCTTTTATCTTTTTCACTACACATTCATTGTATAATAAAAGTAAATACTGTAAAGACAAATTCAAACTAAAATTGATTTGAAATCTAAATCATTTTTACTCAAATGCATTGCTTCCTGAAAGGTGCAACATATTTTTATCAGTTTATGGAGAGAGTAATAAAGCAGAGAGACCTGTGATAATCCCACACAGACACCCAAACTAAGTGCAAATGTTGTAAATAGTAACATTATGATGCAATCAATCGTCTGCAACGGCTACTATCGGCCAAAAAAATAAATAAAAAGTGAAAATATTTCAACACTGAACCGTAACGTCCCAGCTCACCCTTTACAGGGTCATTACTTCCTGGATTCCCTCTGTGAATGCTTCCTCCTCAGTTTCCTGACTCCTGATAAACGAGATAGTGTTCCGAGGAGTTCTCTGGAATGCTGCGAACGATCACCGACACAAGTCTGGATTGTTTGTGACACGTCAGTAGAGAGGAAGGTGAGGAAACTAAAGCCGACGGCCGTGGGACAGGAGCAACCGAACGAGTCAGATCAGGAGGCAAAAGCCATGTCTGCTCCGTGCGCACATGTGCGTTAAATACAGCAACATAAGAGAAAATCAGGTTTACCACCATTTTCCTGCTGGCACAGTGACTCGAGATCAACTCTTTATGCTTAACTTTTTCCCAAAACTCCAAAATGATTCTTAACATTGAACAATAAAAGGATAGAGGGTTTTATTCTGAATAGAAGATAAGACCCATAAACAGCTGTAATGTTTTAAAACTTCTAAGTAATTCTGCTGGTGCCTCTAGTATGAATGAATGTCCAGTGATTCGTTTTCTGTCTGAAAATAAAAGAACACTCCTGTTTCTGGGAGTAGAAGGTTGTCAGAGGACTGAGCAAAAAACAGCAGGATTTTGAGTCTTCCTAAATATTCATAATATTCTAAAATCTCACTTCTGATTGGCTAGCAGCAGCATGACTCTTTCGCTGCCTTTGTTCACCCTTGTTTCTCAGGTAAAAATACAAGATTTAGGTTTTATCTCCACAAAAAACACAAGCCCAAAAGTGTTTTTCTATGTTGTGGGGTTGCTAACGTTAACGGTTAGCTTCTAAAAGCTGAGGCGTACGCTGCTCTCTCCTGGACGTTAAATCAAAAACCTTTTGTGGCTGCAAGTGAAGGTGGGCATGAACACTAATTTCCCATGTAATGTAGAAGAGACTGGGGGGTAGAAATCCCTAGTTTGATCACAATACTACAAATTAATGCAGCTGATTAGACTTTGATATTTGCCAAAATCTCTAACTACTTCAGATTACCATTTCAATTTGGTTCTATTTTGGGTCCACAGATCAATATGAAATATTACAAGTGATTGAACCCAATAATTTCCCAGGGGAGTCGCCATTTCTTCACTGCCCGTTTTCCCACGGCTCGCCATGATGCAGCTAGCTCCTACATTCAACGTGTTTGATAATGTGCATTAACAGGTGGAACGCGGCATGTCAGCAAGACTTCAAAATAAAGCCATTTTCAAGATAATTGTGCATTTGATAAATAGTTACTATATCAATTTTTGCATTTTGGATTGGTGACCATATGATAAATGAACATTGTTACACTCTTAGAAAAGAAAGCTTTTCTGACCCGATTGATTTCCCATCTATTTCCTTTCTGCGGCCAATGCGGAAAAAGAGAGTTGATTGAGAATTTCACGTTCAGCATGCACACACAACTCAGAGTGAAGTATTAAAGTTTCTCAATGAACAGAAACTTTAACGTAGTTATGAAAATGGTATTTTTAGCCATAAATTGCTATAACTTGCCCGAGGACATGTGCTGCCTGAGGCACTACATGCAGTGATTTCATATTTTTCTGCTCAGAAAATTCCTGCGATGTAAAACTGATGTTGGTATAGAGATCCACGCAGCTGTGCCTAAATGAGCCATGAAGTTAATTTTGTCATTTCAGTAGTGATTATGAAGTGTTAGTATTAGGGCTGCACAATATATCGTTAATATATCGTTATCGCGATATCAGCATGCACAATATGCATATCGCAAAGAACAGATAAATATTGCAGTGAATGGAAATGTTTGCTACACAAAATGCATTCTATCAATCAAACAATAGCATTATGATTTTTTAACAAATCAAATAGAGCTCTTCACCCATCTGGCCAATTGGGTGGCTTCTCATAGGTTAGATGCCCGCCCCTGAGGCAGACGGCACTTAATTTTGATGGTTAGCAAACACCTGAGTTAGCTTTGTTTAGCTCTTTCTGCTGATTCTGCTTTTCCCAGATCCACTGATTTCCTTTTGTCCATTTTCTTTTTCCCTTTCCTCACATTTAGCTTTTCTCATTTTTATGATTTTGTTAATTTCTTTGTTTTTGATTATTTTTGCTCCCGAGTTATCGCAAGTAATATCGTCATTGCAATATTAATCATTGTTATCGAACATCACAGATTTTCCTAATATCGTGCAGCCCTAGTTAATATACCAAAATCTGGGGTTTTATTGCAATAAACAATATAGAACCAAATATAATCCACCATTTAACATTTAATCCAACACTACAACTTATCTAGAAGCACAAACTAAAAACGGAAGGCTAATGTTTAAAGAGCCTTTCAGTTCATGTGTTGGAGGAAAACCCGTCTTCTGACTCACGATCACACCGTGACACTCAGATAACACCCCTACCCAAACGACAGAAACACAAATAGACTGGCTTTCAGATATGACACTGTACCAAGACCCAATTCATCAGAACTCTGAGAAGTTGTTGGAACAGCAGTATTTTTCATTGCAAGTCAAGATAAGTGAATGACATTTTAACCAGAAATATGATGAAATTCTTGATTTTATAGTACAATGACCACTGTTTGCAGACAATGGTTCATATACCAGAATAAATAAGTTAGCACAGTAACCAAACTACTTGCCAGTGAGTTTCTGGCCATCTCAGTAAGAAAAAATATCAACTAAACTCAGTAAAAACAGGTTTGTTCAAAGTGTTCTTTACAAAATCACGCCAAGAAACAAGATCCAATGCTGTTCTTCCTCAGACACAAGTTGTTTGTCATTTGATCTCAGTCTCTGAATGCTTGCCAACTTCTGTGGAGG